GTCAGGTGGATGCGCACTGAGGAATCTCAATGTAAGCAGTCAGGTGGGTGCGCACTGAGGAATCTTAATGTAAGCAGTCAGGTGGGTGCGCACTGAGAAATCTCAATGTAAGCAGTCAGGTGGGTGCGCACTGAGGAATCTCAACGTAAGCGGTCAGGTAGATGTGCACGGCAGCTGCCAGAACAAGAGCAAATGCTGTGGAGATGTTGTATGCAGGGTCACTAACACTGGAACCCACTCCATGGTAAGTAACAACAACAATCTTCTATAAGCTCCATCGTCTATCAAACACTCAAACAAAAACACTGCCGTTGGGTTGATTTTGACTCAGAGTGAGCTGTGAGTAAGTCAGGGTAACCTCATACACCTCTAAGACAGCAGGAAGCCAACAAGGAGCAGCCGGTGGTTTCAAACTGCTAACTTTGTGGTTGGCAGCCCAAAGCGTCACCCACTGCTCTACACGAGCCGCTGGCTTCTGCTAAAAATTCTTCTCATGGTTAAGGGACCAGGTGAAATAAAGGTAAAATGAAGACTGAAATTTGGACTGTCCATTAACTAACACACACACACACACACACACAAACCAATAACTAATTCATCCTAATTTAGGATTGAATCATGCCCTTCATCTCCCTCCAAAATGGGGAAGTCCTAACTCCTCTTGCTATGTATGCGACCCTCTTGTTGGGTTCATGAGATCTCCATAGTGGGTTGTACCCTTCTCAAAGTTGTCTTACAGACAGAACAGAACAGACACACCCACAGAAGACCAGGACCTGCCTGCAAACAAAGGATCACTGATCCACCCAAGGAGCGAGGGGAGGAATTCTCAGAAGGCCAGAACAAGAACCAGCCTCTGGTTCTGAATTTCAGCCTCCAGAACTATGAGAAACTAACTTCTGTTCCTCAAAGCCCTTATCACAGCAACACCAGGAACCCAAGACAGCATGCTTGATAGAGGGACAGCCACAAGGAAGCAGCCCTCTGACAAGTTGGACTGACGCAGTCTCTGCATCGACGGGATTCAGATATAAGATTAATTGTCAGGATGACACAGGGCCAGACAGTGTTTTGTTCTACTTTTCAGAGGGCCGCTATGGGTCGGACTCGACTGGACAGCACCTCACAAAAACACTAGGAAACCAAGATGTCTTCAAGCAAGAACCAGCCTCTGT